TTATCCAGGTAGATAGGTGTAGATATAAGATGAATTATATAATCTAAATCTATAGGTATAGTAACAAAGTGTACTATCTACACATTATTACCTTCGCGTTTATACACGCAGCTTCATATTATTTTTTTTCTACAATATCCTTTACAGGTCGATTGTTTGTGGGATGAGTGACAAATCGAGACTGACAAAATTTGTGTTTTTCATTTTAACAGTGGAAYAAACACGTGATTTTTAATTGTTTTTAGYGATAAATACAAAACGTGTTTTGACCAGACGATACGCCAACCTTGGGAGAAACCACTGGGAGATACCGATACCCAATAACAACCACACCTACAATATATGAGATAGGTACCTGATGGGTCATACCTACATTAAGCATCCCATTGTCGCGTACAAATAAAAATAACAACCATTTTATTATAAATTAATAAAAATATTAATTGCTTTTTATAGTCGTCGAGATGTAGTAATTTTAAAATCGCAGGTATAACTCAAATGTATAAATCTCATACAATAGACGCTTGTATTTTAGCCATAGAGCTGGTCGTAGCTTCAATCGAACTATCGAACACGTCTTATATATTGTGTATAGACAATATTAATAGTGGGAACTATAATAGGTAGTATAGGATCATTATTTTATTAGTATCATTATTATATTTATATTAAACGCCGTGGAAATCATTAAGTATGCAATTAGTAGGAAGTAGAACGGGAAGAGTTTAATCAGACAGAAATAACYGATAAGTGATGAACGTAATTATATGTGCATGTGGCAACGATTTTTGAATGCAAACGAATATTTGTGATTGATTCGTTTTGTCATGACTGTGATGTATGTTTTCATTAAAACGATATTTTTTATTTATTTAAAAGTATTTTTAACTATGAAATAAAACCAATAACCGTACATAATAATAAACAGTCTATGATAATTTTTGAACTGTGCACGTGAAATTTGTGCGCAATCGTGTATTGCACCGCCACAATGCAGTTGCAGCTGCTGCTGCACGCGGGAGTCGTCGTCCGTTTTATCGCTTCTCGTCGTCGTAGCGATCGGCCACGCGGGGGATACGATTCATTTCATTATAAAACATAGGTATTATTCGTTGGTAATGATGTATATATATTTTATTACTGCCGTGCACACATCGATACCAATGCCTTAACCTGTACAATATAACATAATAACAGTAGGCGGTAGGTAGGTATATCCACTGTATAAGTATGTACCTACCGCATACCAACCGCTTATAAAAACGATTACGTCCGCATATTATAATATATATATATATATATATACCCGGTGTGTATACGTATTAATAATAATAAATAGAATAATTATTTTTATTTATTACGTTTTACGGCGAAACCCTTCCCTTTGCTTCAGTGTCCGCGATCCTGAAAACCTCCGTCTTGCGGAGATATGGGAATTGAAAATACCTCTGTCACGGAGGAATACTATTAAACTAAATATCACACCTTTATAATATTCTATTGAATCTGAATTTTCGCTGTTTTACTGAAAGTTGGTGGTGTGTCATTGTCCTGGAATTTCAGTCATATAGTGTAGTTTTTTGTCGGGACGGAGGTTAAAATTTTTTTCCATTTCAYACATTCACGATTATTACCATATTATAATGAATTGCTGTTTTTTAAAACCGTCAACCAACCAACTATCTCAATAATGATCTGGGAAGTGTTTGACTGTGCAGCTTTGTTGCTAATATTTTAGTCATGCGCACAATTTATCGTGTTAACAACATTTTTAATTGTATTAATTATGAATAGTTATGTATAGTTATGTTTTAAGGAAACATGTGTCGAATAAAAACAACTTTTCGTGTAAAAAATAAAACAAGCTGCAGCGTATATCCRTTTAAGTAGGTTACATAAGATATTATGCCGTGTAAAATAGTTTCAGGTGTTAATTAAAAAAAATATATATTTATTTTTAATATAATGTTAATTTTCTTTRAAAACCGTTCTATTACTTTATTGTTGATCTATCATTTATGTTAAAGTATTATCAATGTGGGTTAGGTTAACTCTGTTTTTGTGCGTTGAACTTGACACGCAGTTAACCTCTGATTTTATGGTAGCAGAGCTTAATATGTATGAAGATGAAGGCCACTTTCGTACAAGCCCACAAGGTATACGGCTCAAAGTGTATCTAAAATTTCAAAATATAACATAAGTTTTTATAGACTACCTATATTACATATAAAAAAAAATTTTAATTTTTTCCGATACAGGTGCGATCCAAGATACATTAAAAATCATAAACATAATGCCGATTCTAGACGGTAAATGATGGGGACCAATAAAAAAATTAAAATTGTTCTAACCAATCTCAACCCTCCCCCTGCAGATGGGATTTCCACCCAGGAGTTAATTTTCCTCGAATTGTACTCCAATACGTATGATTGGTTAATTCGTCAATGTAGTTAATTAAATGAGACGACAGTGTGACAACGCTATCAAGTCCCCACCACCCCTCGCAACGAGCCAACTATATAKAGAATTTCTGCGGTAGTCGGCACGTGGCTGTTTTTCAAAGCGGTTTTTTTTTTTTTTTTCAAAAACCTTGGCCGGAGGCGGTCGATTTGATTATGCGCACTGTGGGCGTAAACTGTGCGAAGGTGAGAAAAAAATTTGTGAGAACGGTGCGCATCATCGCGAAGCGCTTTAATAATAATTAATCGACGGATCTATTGTTTCGGATGTCCGAGCCACCGCCGATCGGTATCACAAGTGATGTATGTGGGGGGGGGGCGATATCGTTACTATATTATGTTATTAAAACCGGTAATTTGACCGGGGCAAACGGAAAATCGCCGTCGGCTTCTAATTATTATTATCGTGTATAATTTTTCGTGTTTTTTCTCTCCGTCTAAACGCACAATAATATTATATTTTTATACTCCTCACTCACTCTCTGCTAGTACACCTATACTTCTTCAACGGGAATATTATTATTAATATTATTATCGTGTAGTGTTTAACACGTCCACCGCGTAAATTATACACACACAAAAACCCATGTAGATGCATCGTATACGACGGCGATGACGACGCGTCGTCGGCTGGAAATTTCTTCGCACCTCTCAGACATGCATAATAATAATATTTTAATAACAAGCCGGGCGCAACGCGAACCGCGTTTGACGTTATRTTATTATTTTTTCGTTTTTATTATTATTATTATTATTTTTCGTTTTTATTATTATTAAGCTCCCGCGGTCCGCCGGCGGCACACAGCTTGTGTGTGCGTGTTTGTGTGACGAAATCCATCGGCACGTTGTTATAACAACTGCTAATGGATCATGGCCGGCCTCGGTTTTCACGCGCCTCCGCTGACCGGTTCGGCGCGGCGGTGACTCGCTCGTCGTAATAATAATAATAAATAATAATAATACGTCGTGGCCTATTTACGCCCGCGAGGGGCGCGACGAATTTTTTACCAAACCGTTTGACGAACGGACCGACAGCGTTTAATATAGGTAGGTATAGATACCTATTATTTATGTTGCAGCGGTGCGACACTGAGACTTTTTTTTTTGAAATTCTGATCCGGAGATGCGACCACTGTCACCGCGACTTTTCACCGAACCCTTAATTTATATATTCAATTTTGGCGATGGCGTTGGTAAATAAAACCGTATAATGCTTATCATATTATTATAAATTGAATTTAATATTATTTGTTACACGCGTTCGGTATGCAATATATAAATTCGTCTGTGCCATAAAATGTTATTTAGTAGTCAATATAACYAAAAATGTAATGCTAAACAATGTCTGGATAATTTAAAAATGCATTTTTATGGATAAAAGTAATACAGAAAAGGACGATGACCTTGTTTATAGGCTTATATAGCTTTACGAGATKTGTTTCGTTTATCTCARTAATTGTATGCTTTTATTCACAGTTCAGGGCAATACATTTTTCATTAATTTTCTGATCGAGCAATTAAAAGTAGTAGGAATGGAGTTCCGGAATAGGGTATGTTTACAATAATATTGATACACGCGATTGGTGGCGCCACTCGATATTGTTATCAATATAATCGCAGACGGCGTCTTCCGGCGGATTTGTAACCCGACGWTATACACGCATCTACACGTGTTGTTATCGGTTCGGCTAACGATATAGTCGACAAATTGACACGTGCCGCCCAGCCCGACATACACCCCGTTGTAGGACGACGATAAATAATTGACACATACGACGAGACAACGCCGAACGCGGCTTACCCGCKTGTCCCTGCGCACATGACGTATAACAATAATGAGCTGCCCTCTCGTAACTATAGGCACAATCCTGGTAATAATAATAATATGTCTGTGATGGTGATATATTTTAATAATGATGCGCGTGCACCACAGTTCCGGTGTGATGTGCAGCGGAGATATTTTTACACCGAGGGCGATCTCGATGACGCCCCACACGCCTCTCGCAAAGCCGTTTGTGCAGTAGATACTTCATATCCGAATTTATCCTCACACCGACGATTTTACCACTCACCCACCCTCGTTGCGCGCTAGTCCCTTCCAAGCAGAGGCGTCATTTGGGGGGGGGTGCGGTTGCACCCTTACTTTTAGAATGTTACAATTGGCCTGCGCTTTGCTGAAGCCTAAAATAATGCACGAGCCAAGAATGCACAATTATTTATATGATTAAAATCAAATTGTAATAACCGGTCTATAATGTATGGAAATAATTGAATGCAGGATAATATAGATACGTATGTATATCTATATTTTTACATGGCCTGGTGAAATTTCAAAATGGCCTGCTTGAAACTTTGCACACCCAAAAAAAAAAACCTGAAATGACGCCCCTGCTTCCATGTGACGTGTGTGTGTGTGTGTGTGTGTGTGTGTATTTTTGGAGTAACTCTGAAAACTTGAAATTTTACCCTAACGAAGTGATATTTATTTGTTTGAACGTCACAGTAAAATAACTCGACGAGCTTATGTAATAATCACACGTGATGTCCATTTCATTTTGCAGAGATCCAGTGGACTTGATGTTCTTGGAACATCAGTACAACCAGCACTTGCTCAGCCGAGCAGCTACGCCCATGTTCTGGCCGTCATCGCAGGACGGCGGCGTTCACCCCGGACAGCAGTCTGCGATGGAACAGCACCACCAGCACCAACTGAACCAGCAACAACATCAGCTGCAGCAGCAGCACCACCTCCACCACCAGCAACAACAGCAACAGCAGGAGCAAAGCAACGGCGGTGGCAATTCGGGATTCATGTTGGCCGCCGCGGCCGCTGCTCGAGCTCAGTTTCACATGTTGAACAACGCGGCGGCCGCGGCCGCGGCGTCCGGTGGCGGAAGGGCACAGTCGGGTGGCGACGGCAGCGGTGGCGCCGGTGGACCGGCTGCTCAGCACTACCAGCACTCGGCCGCAGCCGCA